CTTCGTCCCACCTGCCCTGCGGTTTTCACACTTGCGTATGGTTGGGTCCTTCGCCAAGATAATTTGATGACGTCGACCCCCAGCGGTCTGGACCCATTCCCCAGGACCGGTTATTCATCCTGAGTCGTTTTTTGACGGTCTCGAGGGCCGGTAAGGGCACCCAGAGTCCAAAAATAATGAAAAACCTCCCGTCGTGATTTGTTCATGACTCGAGGGGGTCTGGGTCCCTCCCTCGTCCCGCCCTCACTCGCTCCCTCTCGCCCTCAGCGAAGCTCGTGCCCTCGGCACGCTGCTGCTGGGGGGCCTCCTGCGCTCGGGGCTTCTTCGCCTTCTTGGGCCTCTTCTTGGACGCCTCCGCTCGCGGACGCGGGCGACGGCCGTGGAGCCGAGGGAGGAGGTCGCCACAGACCGCTCGAGAACGAGCATCGGAGCACGCCCCTTCAGCCTCAGGTTTCTGGTCGGCCGCTCGGCGGCATCGTCTTCGGCGTGGCGTGCAATCCTCCTTCTCCTCGCCCTCGTTCCCACGCTCCTTCTCCTTCTCCTCGTCCTCCTCATCCTCCTCGTCAGCATCGCCATCATCAACAGCGTCGTCCTCGTCCTCGTCTTCACCTCATCCTCATCGTCCTTCTCCTCCTCCTCATCATCATCATCACAATTGCCATCATCGGCATCATCATCAGCAGCATCATCATCAACATCATCCGTATCATCCTTATCATCGTTTTCATATTCTCCATGTGCATCATCGCCAACATTCCCACAAACAGTCTCACCATCATCATCATCATCATCATCATCATCATCAGCAGCAGCAGCAGCATCATCATCACCACCACCATCATCAGCAGCAGAATCATGATCACCGCCGTAAACCTCAACATCATAATCAACCGCTGCTCCCTCTTGATCAACACCCCCTCCCCGCTCGACCCGTCGCCAGCCAAGAGCCCCGAGCCCACGCCACACCGCCCCCGACAACAGATACGGGTGCTCGCGGCGGCAGACTCGGGGTCACGAGCGGACCCCCCGCGAGCACTTTGCAGTCTCCTCCTCCTCCTCCTCCTCCTCCTCCTCCTCCTCCTCCGCCTCCAGAACCCCCTGGATGGCGGGAGTGTGATCACATGCGTCCGCTGTGCACTGGCCCACGATCCATGGCACAGGCCATGCGACCTCATGGAGGGCGCACGCGCCGTGCACCCTGCTGACCACCCCGCCCCCACTTCGCCATGGCTTCTGACACGAGTGGTGGGAGTGTCAGCGTATTGCCAGGTGTGTCCTGCCACGTGCACTGGCGCACGCGGCGCACCCAGCGCGGGTCGTGCGCCTAGCGCACCTGGCGCGGCTGGATCAGGTACAGTGGAGGCCCGACCACAAGAAACCTTCCACAAGAAACCCAACCCTGAGACCCCATGGCGTCCACTGGTTTCTGGTATGGGCACGACACGCCTTCCATGGCAAAGCCATCGAAACCCAAGAAACCCAGGGCACCCTGGAGGCCAGCAGGGTGTTTCTCGGCATGGGGCCCCCCCTGCAGCGCGCTTGGCGCACGTGGCGCACGTGACGCACCAGGCGCGCCTGGCACGCTTAGGCCCCTGGGGCACCTAGCGCACCGGGTTCGCGCCGCACATCTGGCGCGCTTGGCGTACCTTGCGAGCGTCGCACACCGGGCGTCAGTGTTGATTCCCCAGCAATGCCCATCCGATGGCGACCTCTGCCTACATAGGCTGAGTCTGGGGTGCCATTTATATGGTTAGGGGAACGAATGATGGCATAAACATAAAAACTCAGAGTTCCGCGCGGATCTCCGAGGTTTTTATGCTTATGTCATTATTCGTTCCCCTAAGACTGAGTCTGGGGTACCATCTATATGGTGGGATGCCGGGTGGGAATGGGCCAAGCAGCTTGTGGCGCTCCCGTTGGGAACTTGTCCTCACCCCCACCCACCCCCTGTGGTCACTGCCCCTCGTTAACAAACACGCCCTCCCCCACTGGAGTTGCCACCAACCAGGATCCATGACCATCTCTCCACTGACCCTCCACCCCGCTGTCGAAACATGAAAAGTGCAAATTGCGGCAAATATCGAACCATGTGTGGGCACCTCATCATCAGTTTGAACTGGTGCCTGCACGCTGCCCCCCCTGTCCAACACCAATGCGTAATGATTGCGGGAGCACGCGGCATACACCATGCTGGTCACCCTGCCGCTACAATGTGCTGCTTTTCGAAAAGGATGTCGGGGTGTGTCCGCATAGCGCCAGAAGTGTGCAGTCGCGTGCATTGGCGCACCCGGCGCGAGTCGCGCACGCAACGTTCGTGGCGCACCCGGCAAGGCTGGAGCACGTGGAACCAATTTTGCCCGTGGCGCTCGTGGCGCATCTGACGCACCAGGCGCGCCTGGGGCGCCTGTGCGCACCAGGCGCACCTGGCGCACCCTGCGAGCGCGGCGCAACTGGCGCCTGTATTTATTGCCAGCGGCTGTCAATGGCATGGCGACCGCTGCATGTGCTGAGTCGCGGGTGCCACTTATGTCGAGGGAGGGTGGGTGAGGGCGAGCAAGACTGCTGGTGACGTTCCTGTTGGCAACTTGACCCTCGACCTCAACCTCAACCTCCCCCTCGCACTCCTCACATTTGTCTTTGCTCGCTAAGTGGGGCGAGGAGCAAAATATTGGCCCATGGAAGACAAACTCCACATACTTCTTTATTCCTCCTTCCCCTTCCCTCCCTGACACCCCCATCTTTATTTTATCTCCCTCACCTTCGCGCTCCTTCTCCCTCCCTTTACAGCCACAGCCCTGCTACAATAAGCCTTCATTCAATGACGAGACTCAGCTTCTGCCCGAATTGGGCTGAGAGGTTCTGCAGAAAACCTCAGCGGTGTGCTCCCTGCTTCGACGTCCCATGCACAGTCGCATGCGAGGGGGCACCCGAGACACACAGGACTCATCCAGGAAGCGGCAGGACGCAACAACAGGAAGGCCTCCAGACGGAGAAGTCATGAGAGCATGTCAGCGCAGGTCCCCCTCCCCGCCAGACCCCCGACGTCGTATATTATTTCACGCGCGTCCCCGGGGTCTAGAACCCTTCGCAAGAACCGGCTCTTCACACCGTCTGGTCTTTTAACATTCCTGGGGTCCAGTAAGGGCCTTTGGAAGTCAAAAATGGGGGGCGTGGTGGGGAGGTAACACAATCGCACACGCTCGCGCGACCAGTATGGTGCAACGCCTAAGAAAATGGGCAGAAAAGGGAAGCGGTGCAGCCGACGACGACGACGACGACGACAAGTAGGCTTACTTTGAGCCTGCGAAGCCCTCCACTCCGCTGGTGCTTCCAGGAGCGAGCGAGGAGTGGCGACAATTGCGCAGTTTGCAACCACCCAGGCAGCGCAAGGTCTAGTCGCAATGCGCATGTCTTTCCGCTCGGCTGGTCTTGCCAGGAAACTGCGAAAGTGGCGACAGCTACGCAGCTGGCACATCCCATATATACATATGTGTATACACATACAGACATACCTATACATATACATGCATATATATATACATACATACATACATACATACATACATACATACATACAGACATACATACAGACAGACAGACAGACAGACAGACAGACATACAGACAGACAGACAGACATGAATACATGCGTGCGTACATGCATAAACACATACATACATACATAAACACCTACACACATACATGCATGCATGCATGCATGCATGCATACATCTACATACATACTTTCATACATACATGTATACATACATGCATGCACACACATATGCATACATACATGCATACATGCATACGTACATTCATACACACATACATACGCTCGACCATACATACATACATACATACATACATGCATACATGCGTACATACGTACATACGTGCATACGCACATACATACATACACCCATACATATATACATACACATATACATACATACATACATACATACATACATGCATACATACCTACATACATACATACATACATACATACATGCATGCATGCATACATACATACATACATAAATACATACATACATACATACATGCATGCATGCATGCATGCATGCATGCATACATACATACATACACACATACGTACGTGCGTGCGTACGTACGTACATGCATGCATGCATGCCTACATACGTATGTACATACAAGTAGAGAGAGACCCATGGATATACATATAGAGAGATGGAGAGAGAGAGAAAAAAAAAAAAAAAAAAAAAAAAAAAAAAAAAAAAAAAAAAAAAAAAAAAAAAAAAAAAAGAGATAGAGAGAGAGAGGGAGAACACAACCAGAAAAACAAGAGGGGGACAATAGGCACGAGGACGAAGACGAGAGGGACGCCGGACGGGAGAAGCAGGGAGAAGAGGGGAGGCGGGAGGAGAGAGACGCGCGGGCAGGTCCCAGATCCGAGAGGAGCACCTTGCACGGGAGGGCTGGGGATCACACACCCGTCGCGGGTCTTGTGGCGACGCGACGAGGAGCCGCGGGCCTCGTCACCCCCCCGCTCTCGCCCCTCGCCCGTCCGCCGCGGACCCCTCTGGAGCTCCCGAGGGCGAGGGCCCCGCCTTCCGCTCCCGGGCGGCCTCGCCCCCGGCCTCGGCCGCCTGGGGCAGGGGATGGGGGGGAGGGGGGGGGGAAGCTCCTCCTCCTCCTCCTGCTCCTCCTCCTCCTCCTCCTCCTCCTCTCCTCATCCTCCTCCTCCTCCTCCTCCTCCTCCTCCTCCTCCTCCTCCTCCTCCTCCTCCTCCGTTCGTTTTCATTACAGACACCTTCTCCCTGTCGCACCCCGGGGCCAGTTTTCAGGGCGGCTCAGGCGGTTCGCCCGAGACCTCCTCGCCACTCCAGACCCTGAATATGAAAGGTTGGAAACCTCTTCACAGGTGGAGGGCGGGTGGTTTTCAAAATGTGGCTCTCGCCCTACAACCCCGTGCGAAAAGCAACTGGGGTTTTCGTACACACCTCCCCCCCCCCACCCCCCAATTTCAATGTTCAACGCGGGGTCGATTTTTTTTTCGAACTTCGCTGGTCGCACGATGAACATTGAAATTCGGGGGCCGGGGGGCTCACCAAACCCCAGTTGCTTTTCGCACGGGGTTGTAGCGCCGCGCACATTCGTTTTAACAAATTGCATGACTTTCACGGATTGAGGGCGGGCCGTTTTCAAAGTGTGGCTCTCGCCTTGGCGTCGCGCGCACTCGTACAAAAGTATCAGCCAGCATTGACTCGAAACAGACTAGACGAGTCAAATCAAGGAATCAAAGGAATCAAGCATGCTTGGATTCCGCAACTCAGCAAGCAAGCAAGCGTGCAAGCAAGCAAGCAAGCGTGCAAGCAAGCAAGCAAGCACGCAAGCAAGCAAGCATTGGAAACATAGGCATAAGCACAGGCATAGGCATCGGAGCGCTCAGAGGTGGTGCATAGGCATAGGCATAGGCATAGACGCAGGCATAGGAGTTAGAGGGGATGCATAGGCAAAGGCATAGGCATAGCCATAGGAATTAGGGGAAGCTGGGGAATTAGGGGGCAACGGACCAATTAGTAAGGTTTGAGTTAGAACTCCTATAGGGCAAGCCTAGTTGGATAAATTGCGAGACCTTCGCGGATTGAGGGCGGTTCCTTTCTCGAAATGTGGCTCTCGCCTTAGCACCGCGCGCATTCGATTGAACAGTTGCAAGAGTTTCACGGGTTGAGGGCGGTTCCTTTTTCGACATGTGGCCCTCGCTTTAGCGCCGCGCACGTTCGTTTTGCAAAATGCGTAAAAGTTTCACGGGTTCCTATAATCAGCGCGCCAGAAGAGGCGGTTTGGAAAGATTCTGGATTATGAGGGCGGAACGCTTACGTTGATTCGAGGTGTTGAAATCCCAGGAGCGGCGTTCTGGCACGATTCTGGATCGTCAAGACGCAACAGTCAGGTTAATCCGTGGCGTTGGACTCCCGAGAACGATGTTTTGGCATGCATCAGGGTCTTCAAACAATTGTCTTCAAACGAGACAGTTCCCTCGGTGGAAATGAACCCTTGTAAGGGGCCTATGAAGAGGGAACCTGGAGGGAGGGTTTACTTCAACATCAATAAAGACTCTTGGGTTTACCAAGGTCCTCCTCCTCCTCCTCCTCCTCCTCCTCCCACTCCTTCCTCCTCCTCCTCCTCCTCCTCCTCCTCCTCCTCGGTCCCTCCTCCTCCTCCTCGTGCCATTCCCAGAGAGAAGGAGGAGGACGAGGAGGAGAAGGAGGAGGAGGAGGAGGAGGTATTGGGACCAGTCCTACTCACCGCCGAGAAAAGACGGGGGGGCAAACTAAAGACCTTTAACAGTTAGCCAGGGACGTACCATTCATCCGACCCACGTTGTAGAACCCAGCTGAACGCAATGCTCTCGAGAAGCTATGTGCCGCGCCACCTTCTATCCTGCACCTCCTCCTCCTCCTCCTCCTCCTCCTTGGAGCAGGCTGACTCGTTCTCGCTGCTTCTCTAAGATATGAACTCAGACAGAGGGAGGAGGTGGAATCAGGGAGAAGATGATAAGGTCTGAGAGGTGGGAGAGAGTCTTGAAGGAAGGAGAGGGAGAGAGATTGGAGAGAAGCGAGGGGAGAGGAAGGGGTAAGGAGGGGGGGGACTGGACAGGGAGGGAAGAACGAAGAGGGTAGGGGAGAGGAGGAGCAGGAGGAGGAGGAGGAGGAGAGGGGAGTGAAGGGGGAAGGGGCATTCTGGATCAACGCAGCATTTGGGTCAACAACAAGGAGCCCCGTGGGGGGAGGGAGGAGGGAAGCAGATTGACGAGGGAAGGAAAGGGAGGTGAACAGAAAGGGGGAAAGGGAAGACAAGGCGGGACGGAAGGAGGGGCAGTGTCGCATGAGGGATGGGGAGGGCCGATGGCCAGGAAAGGGCGGAACAAAACAACATATCCTCGTTCCTTCCGTCCCCCCTGCTCCTGACTGAATAGTAGGTCGGGAGCTCCCGTCCTGCTACTTCCCTGATCCTTCCGTCCCCCCTGCTTCCGTCGGTCGGAAGTAGTAGGCAAAAACAAAAGGTAGGAAGGCGGATCAAGCAGGTCGGATTCGTGCCCTCCGAGAGAATAACAACAAACACGACAAGACCGTGCCGATTCTTGAAGCAGGGAGGCGCTAGAAGCAGACTTGGACGTGGGAATCAAAAAAATACTTACTTTCTCGGGGGCGCACCAACATGGATTAGCGATCCATGAATTTGGCGCGCGGTCGCCAAATCCATGGATCGGGGGAGGTGCCCTCCCCAAAATGCGGCTGGTGCCGCCTCGTTCGGCGGCGGAAATCCGCGATTCCCCATGGAAACGGGACCCGTCGCTAATCCACGCCCGCTTGATCCATGTTTGCGATCGCCTGACTTTCATCGACCAGCGTGCACCCCGCCCCCAGCCACCCCAGCTGTTCGAGGGGCCCCTGGCCCACCGAGGACAAGTCGACTGGCGCCTCCTGGCCGTCCTCCAGCTTCCGGAGGATGTCCTGTCGGGGCACGGGGAGGGAGGCTGGAGGAGAAGGGGGAGGAGTGGTAGAACAGTGAGGTGGGCAAGGAAGAAGAAGGTGGATGCCAAGGACGAGTGAGAGGACGACCCTCCAGCAGCACAGCAGCAACAACAACTGGAACGGGAACAAGGAGATGGACACGGACAGGAGCTGCAAGAGTGTGCTCGTGATGATGCTGATGACGGTGACGATGATGTTGATATTGATATTGATGTTGATGTTGATGGTGATGATGATTATGATGATGATGATGATGAGGCTGATGCTGATGATGGTGATGGTGAATACGATGATGATGCTGCTGATGACGACGATGATGATGATGATGGTGATGGAGGTGATCATGATGGTGATGATGATGGTGATGATGATGCTAATGATGATGACGACGATGATAACGGTGATGAGGATGATGTTGATGATGATGGTGATGATGGTGGTGGTGATGATGGTGGTGGTGATGATGATGAGGAGGATGATGAGGATGAGGATGAGGATGAGGCTGAGGACGAGGATGAGGATGAGGATGAGGATGATAATGAGGATGACGAAGATGCTGATGTTGATGGTGGTGATGATGATGATGCTGATGCTGATGCTGATGCTGATGCTGATGCTGATGCTGATGCTGACGATGAGGATGCTGATGCTGATGCTGCTGATGATGATGATGCTGCTGCTGCTGCTGCTGATGCTGTTGCTGACGCTGCTGTTGCTGATGCTGATGCTGATCATGATGATGATGATGATGATGATGATGGTGATGGTGATGGTGATGGTGATGGTGATGGTGATGGTGATGGTGATGGTGATGGTGATGATGATGATTGTGATGATGATGGTGGTGGTGATGATGATCATGATAATGATGATGATGATGATGATGATGATGATGATGATGATGATGAGGAGGAGGAGGAGGAGGAGGAGGAGGAGGAGGATGGTCAGAGCCCCGCGAGAGAGAGTGCCGAAGAGGGCCAAGGGCAGCAGGCGAGACTGATGGAGCAAAAGGGGCGTGCGTCCAGCAAGACCAGGCCAGCGACGCGAACGCAGGAAGCCAGGAGCCCGAAAAGGCAGGCGCTCGAGCCAACCCCATCAAAGTGCCCACGAGCGCCCTGCATGGCTCGAAGCATCCTCAAGAGCACGCCACAGGGCCCATGCCTGCAAGAAGCAAGCGTTCAGCGCAACACGCCACTACAGCCGAGCGAACCCAAGATGGCGCGAAGCGATGACACCAAAGGCTGCCCCGGTTAGGCTTCGACATCCGGACCCTACCCCCACCCAGCATCGACTCTCCTGAATCGATGGGAGGCAGGGGAAGGGAATCGGATTTCGCTACGTGCTCGACGAATTTCGAAGCCTACCCCCGCCGCCCATCGAGTTGCCTGAAGCGTTGATCGGCGACGGCAGGGTTCGGATTTCGCCGCCAACCCTCGTTTCGTATTCGCTCCTCCTTTGCAGCTGTGCGGAGCCGAAACGAAAAGGGCCCACCAAATCGCCAAAACACGTGGGTCGCGCCCTGCCACACAGGGGCCCCTATAGGGGCCAAAAATAATTTTATCTTTCGCTGGTCGGCCTGTAGATTTTGATTTACTGGCCCTCATGCCCACATGATAGTTGACATCACGACGACGCCTTGGCGTAGGGATCCCCACGCCAAGGCGAACCTCCAGCCGCGCGCCCCCGCGGCCCGCAGCGGGGACGTCCAGGGAGGCCGCGGCCCAGGCGTCCGCGCCTCGGGCGGGCCACGGAAGCAATGGCTCACATGGGACGCACAGGGACATACGAATACTATATGTCCGCCTTGGAGGCGCGCGTCCGACCCGAGCAGATAGTATACCCATCTTGTGGTGTGTCGTTTCCCCGAGCGGTGTAGACAGAAAGCGCCCGCCACGACGCATATACGATGAGATTTCTCGGTGCGCGCGTCGCCCCTGGGGGAGGCGACGCACACATAGTATAAGTATGTTGGGGTGACGCCGATCACAGGCCCCTCCGACCTGAGATGACGTCGAGTAAGGCCGGGCAGTGGCCCAGGGGCAGGAAGCCTGGCGCACTGACGCTGCTCGCGCTGCCTCGCGCGAAGCTCTGTCCTGGGCAGCTGGGTGTGGCAGCTCCTCCTCCTCCTCCTCCTCCTCCTCCTCCTCCTCCTCCTCCTCCTCCTCCCTCCTCCTCCTCCTCCTCCTCCTCCTCCTCTTCCCCTCCTCCTCCTCCTCCTCCTCCTCCTCCTCCTCCTCCTCCTCTCCTCCTCCTCCTCCTCCGCCTCCTCCTCCTCCTTCCTCCACCTTCTCCTTCCTCTCTCTCCTCCTCCTCCTTCCTCCTCCTTCCTCCTTCCTCCTCCTCCTCCCTCCTCTCATCCTCCTCCTCCCCCTCCTCCTCCTCCTCCCTCTCCTCCTCCTCCTCCGCTTCCTCCTCCTTCCTCCTCCTCCTCCTCCTCCTCCTCCTCTCCGCCTCTTTCCCCCCACCTCCTCCTCCTCTCCTCCTCCTTCCTCCTCCTCCTCCTCTCCTCCTCCTCCTCCTCCTCCTCCTCCTCCTCCTCCTCCTCCTCTCCTCCTCTCCTCCTCCTCCTCCTCCTACCTCCTCCTCCTCCTCCTCTCCTCCTCCTCCTCCTCCTCCTCCTCCTCCTCCTCCTCCTCCTCCTCCTCCTCCCTCCTCCTCCTCCTCCTCCTCCTCCTCCTCCTCCTCCTCCTCCTCCTCCTCCTCCTCCTCCTCCTCCTCCTCCTGCCTCCTCTCCTCCTCCTCCTCCTCCTCCTCCTCCTCCTCCTCCTCCCTGACTCTTAACGATTCGGAGCTCCGACGAGGGGCGCCGCTTGCATGCCCAGCGCCTCAGGCCGCCGCTCTCGCCGCGGCCTGCCGCCTCCGGCAGCGGGAGGGCGTGGACAGCCTGGCGCCGCCTCTAGGAGGAAACATGCGAACCCTACCTCTACCTCCCACGATTTCTGAGGGGGAGGGTGGGGTTCACTTCGCTCGAGAGCTCCCGAGCGAAGTGAACCCCACCCTTTCCCTCAGAAATCGTGGGAGGTAGGGGTAGGGTTCGCATGTGGCCCGCCAGCCTCGCCGAGGCCTCCGTGCAGCCACGGCCCATCTTGTGGAGCGCCTCGGGGCAGCGCTGGCGACCCTGCAGCTGGAAGCCGTCCGAGCCCAGCTGCCCCGACACGCAGGTCCCGCGGGGGGCACGCGGGCGCGACCCGCCAGGCTGCAACGAGCGGGGACTGCCGCACGAGGAGCCCAGCAGGTGGCCCAGAGCTCCGTCCGCGGCGCTTTGGGGGGGCAGGGCCCGGCAAGGCTCTGAGGCGAGCCGCCGCGCGTCGACGCGGCTGCATGACCACGAAGCCGCCGCCCACGCGGCTGGCATCCGGGCACAGTGGAGGCCGGCCCACAAGAGGCCCCTCCACAAGACACCCAACCCTGAGAGCCCAGGACGTCCATGGATTCGTTTGGTGTGGGAACGTCACGCTCTCCATAGCGAAGCCATCGAGACCGAAGACACCCAGGGCACCCTAGAGGCAAGCTGGGTGCTTCTTGGCGTGGGTCTCCACTGTAGCAGTGGCCATGGGGCGCAGATGTGTTGGTCCAGCGCACCCTGCTGGTGGGGGGGGCAGCGGGACTGCGACTGGAACTGCGACCCGCATTGCGCTCCCTGTAGGTGCGGCGGGCCGGGGCCGAAGCACCCGCTAGCTCTAGGGCGTTCCATGCATCTGGTGTGGCACAAGCCAATGGCCGGTGAACAACATCTCGCGCCTCACCGCGTGAAGGACAGGGAACTCGCAAATCACCGCATGTCTCAAACTGCGACTGCCGAGCACACGCAGCCTTTCGCTGCCTGCAAGACCCCATGCAAAAGTGATCCCGACCTCCCTTGGGTGTGCAAGGCTGTGAACATTTTTAATCCGCGGGTCGAGAGCGCATCTCTTCCAGTCGAAGCTAAGCGGGCCGCGCACAGCTTTAATTAGCGGAGGGGGGGGCAGAAGGATGGGCCTCATGTCAAGGCCAGGAGGGGGCAAAGCCCCGGAATCAGGCGGTGCCAGGCTGTGAACATTCCGGAGCAGACGTTTTTTGATCAGCGGCGCGCCGGCCAGAAAGCGGTCGAGCCCGCGGCGGGGCGCGTCCGAAGCGAACCGGGCACAGGGGCCCTCCGGTCGAGCAGCGAAACCCGGATCTTCCGGACGTCCGGAAAGGGCAAAAAACCAGGAATCGGCACAGGCGAGGGAGCTACACTCTTGGGAAGACAAAAGGAGCCCGAGAGGTCAAAGGAAGGCTTGAGAAGACAAAAGGAGCCCGAGAGATCCTCGGTATCCCCTCCAGAAACCTGGAACCGACTTCAGGCGAAACCCGGACTTCCAGAAAATGCAGATTCAGAACCGGCGCGTGCGAAACCCAGGATTCCTCTGGGCAGCCCAGACCCGCCTTGAAGCGAAACCCAGCATCGCATTCGAGATAAGAGGGCGAAGCCTGAGAGGCACAACCGATTTGCCAAACAGTGTTTGCACGTAGGGGTTCTCACTTGTTCTTTAAGGAACTGGGCCTGAGGGTCTGCTCGGCGGCTACGTTGTCGCCGTCGCCGCCCCGTCGCCGCCTCGTCGCCGCCCGTCGTCTGGGCCTGCGGGTCGGTCTGGCGGCTACGTTGTCGCCGTCGCCGCCCCGTCGCCGCCTCGTCGCCGCCCGTCGTCTGGGCATGGAGGTCGGTCTGGCAGCTATGTTGTCGCTGTCGTCGCTTCGCTACCACCACATATATTCTCCTTTCTAAAAGAAAATTCGGATCTACATCCTCTGCAAGAACACACTATGCGCGCACATTCGTTGATAACAAATAATTAATTGTCAATAATCCCTTGCGAAGACAACAAACATGCACACACGCGCGCGTCGTCGTGCGCGCATGCCGAAATCCTTCAAGAAACCTTCGGCTTCGTAAAAAAACAAATTGCGCCATGGAAACATATACAAAAACACTCGGTTTCGCAACCATTTTTAAACAA